ACCGCCATAGTCGTTGCAGAGGAGAACCGCGGTGTCGAAGCGGCTGCAACCCCGCTCGAGGTGAGTGTTTTTTCAGTGACATTCGCATTGTCTCTTGCTCGCTTCATGGTCATCGGCTGACCAAGTGGGTGTTTTAACTTTAGTCGGAAGCGTCAAGTGGAGGTGCCAACCTTGGCGCCGCGTAAGGCACTCAAAGTGGGCTCCAGTCCCACTGCTCACCAGGCGGCAGAGGCGCAAACCACCATGCAGCCTACTGTGGCATCGGCCGGGGTCGACCTAAAGAGGTCGGTCGTTCAGGAAGAGGCTCCTGGGGCGGCTACGGAGCAGACGGAGGAGGAAGGGCCTACACCGCACGTTGCCGAGGCCCATGAGTCCGATGGGGCCAAGGCGCCCCCAGTCGCCGAGGCCAGGAGCAAGGCCAAGGCCTCTGGGACTCCCGAGGCCAAGATGGTCGAGGTGTGCGTGGCGGGCCTAGTGGCCCGAGATTCGGAGATGGAGGTGGGGCAACCTTTGGTGCCGCCCCTGGCCCAAGGCCTGCCGCCGCCGCAGGAGAGAGCCCGGGAGGTGGAGGTTCCGGCGACCTCTCCTGCCGATACTTCCCGGGGGAAGGATGCAGTGGATATCGAGGCGGACAGCACTGCCGAGCAGCCAGTTCCAGCTCCTGGCGAGGGGAACTCGGCCCTCGCGCGGGAACGATCTGAGCCCCGCGGGTGGAATCACCCGCGTATATCGTGGCTGAGTCGAGACGACCCGGAGGGGGAGCCTCTATTCGCCCTCGAGGATGCGGTCGAGGGGGCGTGCTGGAGCTCCTTCGAGCAATATCGTCGGTTGGCGGTGCAGTCGCTGTGAACGGCACTGTCCGTCATGGACGACGATCTGCCCGGCGTCGCCCAAGTACGCGTCCTCTTTTCTCGTGTGGTGTCGCCTTGTTCTGAGTCTTTTCGCAATGTATGACCTCTGTTCTACCTATCCAGGAGCTCGAGGCTCGGTCTCTCGGGAAATCGTTGTTCCTTCATCAAGAGAGAGACGTCTGGGACCAACTTGAGCAGCAGAGGGACCTGCTCACAAACACCAACAAGCTCCTGTCGGCGCGGAGCACGGAGGCAGAGGACCTCCGCCTTCGTTGTGCAGATATGCGGGCCGAGGCGGCCACGGCTTGGGAGCAGGTCGCTCCTTTGGAGGCGCGAGTCAAGGAGCTGGAGGAGGAGGTGACCCAGGTGGCCGGCGAGCGGGACGCCCTTCTTTCCCGGGTTGAAGAGGCGACGGTCTCTGCCAAGTCCGTTGCTGCGCAGTTGGGTGAGACAAAGGGCGCCCTGGACGAGGCCCTCAAGGTGGCCGAGGCTTCCCAGGTCGATGCCTTGGCTTGGAAGGAGAAGTTCGAGGGTAAGTTCTGCCCCCTTTATTTTGTTTATTTTTCTTGCGCTCGGCCCCCTAACTCTCTGGTGTGGTACAGAGCTGGAGAAGGAGGCCTCCAAGGCGACCGAGGCGTCACGGGTCAAGGTCCAGCACTGGAAAGAGAAATCCGAGGGTAAGTCCCATAGGCCTTTGCCCCTGTTTGACTTATTCCTCTTTCGTGCTTAACCTCATCCTGCTCGTTTTGGCGTAGGGTTGGAGAAGGAGGTTTCCTAGGTGGCAGAGGCCTCTATCGCAGTGCAGGCGACGCTCGAGGCTGAGATCGAGGATCACGATGCGCTGTAGGCCACCGTCTACAAGGCTCTGGCTGTTGAGGGGGCTTAGTCGGGTAGCTCCCTCAGGAGCCGCCTGGCTACGTGGAGTGGCCAAATGCGGGAGCGACTTCGAACGGCGTTGCATACAGGCGTCAAGCGTGCCCTGGCCGTCGTCTCTTCGCACTACGCCGTCAACCTCGAGGCCATCAGCGATGGTTACATCTTGCCTGATGATGACAAGGAGGCTCATGAGGAGGTCACCAAGCTGATGGAGGCGGCTGAGGTCCCTGGTGCGGCGCTAGCCAGTCTGTTTGAAGAAGTGGTTCCCCCTGCGCCCGCCACCGACGCAGGAGATCCTGAGCCTTGACCTGGGCCAAAGGGGCCATGTAAATGAACTAAGTTATTGTCGTGTCATGACATTTGTGGCCGTTGAGGCCTTTTAAAGTATTCGTGCGTATGCTTTTTTAATTGGTTTATATCGTTTTTCCAAGCCTCTGCCTTCTGCATTGCTTCTAGACAAGGTCTGTGCAAACGATTTCCTCGAAACCTGAGCTGCCCCTCCGGCGAAAGGTGGCGAGGGAGTTGCCATAGCCCAGAGGCGTAAGCAGTCTCATGACTCGGCCGGCCTCTTGCACTCGAGGCGTGCTTTCGGTCCTTAGATTTTTACACACGGCCTGTCAGAGTACGTAAGAGAGTTTGGCGTGGAAATATATTCAAAAAATGATTAAAAAATAGTGCCTGGGACTTAGGGGGCTCCCCCCGATTCTAGCCCCCGAGGGGGGCTCGGCTCTGTAGAGGCAGAGCCGAGTCTCCCTTATAACGTTATTTCTACATCAGTTCCCCGTCGAGAGGGGAGTTTTCTCGAAAAATTAGAATAACTAAAGAACGCTTCTTTAATATATTTCGAGAAACAATATATACAATGCTTGGAGATTTAAGGGTAGAAACGACGTAGCTGTTCTATGTTCCAAGCGTTGGTGAAGATTTCGCCCTTCTCGTTGGCCAGCTTGTAGGTCCCAGGTTTTAGCACTTGGGCGATGATGTACGGTCCTTCCCATGGCGGGGTCAGCTTGTGGCGGCCCTTGTTGCTCTGCCTCAGTCTCAGCACCAGGTCGCCCACCTTCAGGTCTCGGCTTCGGATGCGCCGGGCTTGATAGCGTCGTAGGGCTTGTTGGTACTTGGCTAAATGTAGCAGCGCAATGTCTCGGGCTTACTCCAGTTGGTCGAGAGCATCCTCGCGGGTAGTGCGGTTGCTTTGCTCGTTGTAAGCCTACAGCCTTGGGGAGCCATACTCCAAGTCAGTGGGGAGGATGGCCTCGGCTCCATAGACCAGGAAGAACGGCGTGAACCCCGTGGCTCGGCTTGGTGTATTCCTTAGGCTCCGGATGACCAACGGGAGTTCGACCAGCCATTTCTTGCCAAATTTCTTCAACCGGTGTATATCCTTGGCTTGAGGCCCTGAAGAATCATGCCGTTGGCACTTCTACTTGGCCGTTTGTCCTTGGGTTGCTCACTTGCTTCATCGTTGTTCACTTGCTTCGTCGTTGTTGATGCGACGGTGCACGTCGTGGGCCCTCTGCCGGGCCCCACCGCCATCACCGCGACCTTGCTGCTCCTGCTCGAGAGTGTCTCGGAGCTGCTGCAGCAGGAGTCGATCTTGGTCGACTTTTGCCTAGAGCTCACGGAGCTGCTCCAGGTCTAGGCGTTGGAGATCCTCGGGGGCAACGTTCACGTTCCGCACCGCCCAGAGTTCGACGAGCGGGGGTGTGGCGTCGCCCGCCCCTAGGTAGGGCGGGGACCGGTTGCCTGCCCTCTCACCCTCATTACTTGCCTCTGGCATTCTGAGCCCGACGTGGAAACACTCTCGAGTGGGATCGTAAGTGCTTTCGTCATCGGAGTCGGAGTAGCCGAAGCAGTAGTCGCTTGCGGCCAAGAAGCGGCGCATAGCCTCGGGGTCATGAAGCCCAGAGAAGTCCGCTCCAGCCCATGCCTCGTCCTCCTCTGAGGAGTCAGTGTGGGTGTGAGTCGAGATTGTGGTGGAGAAGTCGAGGGCGAACCATTGGTGGTGTTCCGAGGGTTCCGCGTGCGCGGAGGCGTAAGCGAAAGCGTAGGCGGCGGCGATGTTTTTCAGCCCGAAGGGGTACGGGGATGGTGCCACAACTGGGCTCCGCTCCGCCTGAGTTGATTCCTCAGGATGTGGCGGGGCCGAGCTTGACGACGGGACGTCGCTACGTGCTACCAGCGTCTTTCCCTGCCCAGGCTTAGGCTAGACGGGTCCCTAGCCAGGGATTCTGTACCAACAGCCGGGCATGGGATGTCGGCGGAGTGCGATGCGCAGCGCTGAGCTCGCGTGGCGTCGGAGTAGTCCCGCTTGCGCCGTGCCTGGCGAGCGTGACGAGAGCGGTGGCCCGGGCACCGCCTGGGCCCGGGCTACCGATGCGTGACGTCGTCGCCGGCCGGTGGGGCTCTGGGTGTGAGGAGTACCATATCATACTCACATCCTAGAGACATGAATTCTACACTACTAGGGATGTGTACATCAATGATGCTCTTCTTTCGTCACTGAAGACTCCAAAATCGTCACATGTATTATTTTATGACAAATTTGTGACGATATGGTATTCATCATTGAATGCGCGTCATATTTTACCTACCGTGACGAAACGTCTATTTTCGTCATAGATGTGCATTTGTTCTATGACGAAATGGCCGTCGTCATAGAAGTGTATTCTTTCTATGACGATCTATTTTCGTCATTGATATAGCCCCTTTTTCGTCATGACTTGCCGTCTGTTAGGCGGCCAGACGACGTCTGCCACGCTGGCAGCTGACGTGTCTTGTCCACGTGGCGCGTCCACATTGCAGGTGACGTGTCTGACCATGTGGCAGCTGACGTTGCCAGTGATGTGAATGGTCCACGTGTCCAATTTTTATTGGGCCACAAGGCTTGCTGTGATAGGTTCTCATTTTCGTCACTGAAGTAAATAGAAATTCGTCACAGAATCAATTACCAAATCATCACAGAAAGGTCAGATAATTCATCACAAGTGCACATGCTGATTTCATTACAGAATGCAAATAATACTGGAATGACCAAAAGCTTCCATAAATTAACAGGTCCAGTATTCCAATGACCAACAACTTAATCAACAATTCTAAACTCGGTTCACATAACTCACTAGACATCACATTTGAACTACTAATTCCATCTCAGTTTACATTAACATCACAGGAAATAATAAAAAGTTGCCAACCACCAGCAACATAAGTTACTACATAAATAAAATCACCAGCAGACCCCTTGCTTAATGAACCAGCAGCTACGAGCAGCGCTCATGTCGAAGAAGCATTGTTGATGGCCAAGATACGCTTGAGCAACGCATTGTTCTCCTCCATTGCCTTGTTGCTTATCTCTGTCAGCTTCTTGTACTCTTCCATCTCCTTTTGTGTCCTCGCCAGCTTTTCCTCAGCTTCTTCACTTCTCTTCCTGAGTTCATCGATTTCACCTTGTACAACAGCCGTAGCTTCAGCTGCTAGTTGCTCCCGAAGCTCGCTTTCATTTTACGATGATGATTTGGAGGATGGCACTAGTTTGATGCCAACACTCTTCAGGAAAAGGTTTGAGCTGTTCTGGGAGAGCACCTAGGACACAACCTACACATTGGACACTGCTGTCTCACCTTCAGCAACAGGTTCTGTCCTCAAAGCTTCCATATTTGACTGAAACAGCAATGACCCATCATTAGTTGATACTTATTGCATTAATTTGAGGAGGAAATATCACACAAGATGTATTTTAAAAAATAAAAACCTATGCTGCATTGATAGAAACTGACGTAAAAAAACCACCGTCACAAATTTATCACATGTCATTTCATATAGGAAGCAAAAGATATCATTAATCCACCATATACGAAGCAACATATCTCATTAATCCACCATACATTTTATATAAGTCAGCTATATACAAAACTGATGGCTATAAGAACAACTATGTCTAGACATCGAGCGACATATAAGAACTTATTCCAATACATTGAGGGACCGAAAAAAAATGGTGAGAAGTAACAACTAGCACAACTTAAGTCTTGGATTTCAGGGTGTACCATTATTTTCCACACACATCACAGGGGGAAGCTTGTTCGGCTGCTTCAGCTGTGCTTCTTCCACATGCATGACCACTTCGACATGTTAGTCTCCTGCATAAAAATATTGTAGGACACAAGGCTGCATTAACTAACTGTGGCGATCATGTGAGGAAAATAAAAATAAGCATTAACTAACTGCAGGTCACGTTCTGACCAAATCTTTCTTCTTAAAACACTTATGTACTATCTGGATGGTTAGTTAAGATGTGCATATATGAATATATCTGCTACCAGCAGTACTTAATTTCATTATCCACGCTCAGTCAACAGATGCTTAAGATTGAATAGTTACTGTTCCAAGATCAGTTGATACTAATGGAATCTGACAACTCAAAGTAAACATGGAACAGTATCCTAGGCAGCATTGTAGCATATAAATAAAGCCAATGCTTTGCAAATATTTTAGATGCATTGATCTGAAGCTTTCATACCAGAGCTAACTACTGTGGTAGCACATAATAGAAACCATTGAACATCACACGTTCCTAGCTAACTAAAAATGGGATTGTACCATGAACAGACAACAATAGCATTTATAAATTATTTACAAGCCATGAAACTATTAGAAAGTATCAACTGATCTTGCATATTTGCATAACACAGTAAGAAAGTTGAAACAACAACTCATTGGTTTTGGCTTCTTACAATGTAGAGATCAAGGTAATCCAGCTGTAATCCTTGAGTGTGTTCTGAAGTGCTGACCGAACCTTATCAGGAACCAACTCTGTGCACCTGAAGTTGTCAAATATTGATCACATTTTGCATTTGGAGTGTTAATTGATGACATTTTGGTATTCAGTTGATTACTAGTTTTGTACTTCCGAAGAGACTAGCATCGCCATTCACCTAAAGTTTCAGCTATAATGATTATCAACCAAACGGCATAGTGAGAGTACGAGGATGTGCATTACAGTACCTCGGAATGGAAGGAAGCAGGAGCGCACAGGGAGGACAAGGAAAGCTCGAGTGCTGCCACCGCCCGCCTTGCGCTGACGATGGATCTAGCTCGTGCGCCGCCGGATGCACAGTGGCCCGCTGCTCATGCACGAGGCTGCCGCCATGCTCGGGCGCCACCACCTCCCGCCTCGTGCCAGTGCCGGATTCGGCATAGCCCTTACCGTGCGCCGCCGAATCCTGTCCATGGTGGATCCATCTGCCTCTCTCCTGCCATGGCACGGCGGTCAGGGGGCTCTGGCTGCCTCCGCTCTATTCATCAAGTAGGGCCGACGCATCCTGCGGCCTCCAGTTCTTGCTGACCGTGAGGGAGAGGTGAGTGTGGCACAGCGCAGGATTAGACCATTGGGGGTGGCAGCTGGCGGCTGGTGGACAGGAGGAATCGAGGAAGCCACTCTGCTGTGGCTCTGCGTCTCACGACGGGGAGAAGAGAAAAGGAGGCGCAGGACAGGGGTGGTGGTCTGGTGGTGGTGGAGTACAGGAAGAGGGTAGGGTTTCGTGGGTTTTATACGAAGTATAGCATATATGGACCGTCCCTTTTGAGATCTAACGGCTGAGAGAGAGGGGTCTTGATTTGGGCTGAACCTGAGCATCATTTTAAGGCCCAACATGTCTCATATTTTTTCCATTTTAATCATCATAATTAAATCATAATAACTATGGTTTACGTGATACTTATGTGTTCAACATAATTTTTACATTAACTAGACTAGCTAAGAGGTGTTGTCTAGGATTGTCAAGGGTTTTTGAAGTTATTTGCTATTTCTTAAGGTTTAAGTCATTTACTGCACGATTTTGTAAATTAACTCCGACTTAAACTACATGTCATGTCAAACAACGTCTCAAAAGACAAATATATATATAAGAATACATGTTTTATTTGAGCTCACATCCTGAAAATTGGTGGAAATGAAGTGTTTCATTAGGGACCCAAAAGTTGTAGAGGTCATTAAGATCTACAACTTTTATTTTGGTCATCTTGTCATTTGACAAAATTTGAACCTTTCAAATTTGAAATTTTAAAAAATGACAAGTTCGAACCAAAATTTGAGACCCAAAATGATTTCAACATAAAAAGTGATGAATAATAAAGTTGTTCAACTCATTATTATCTACAACTTTTATTTTAGTCATCTTGTCATTCGACAAAATTTGAACCTTTTAATTTGAAATTTTGAAAAACGACAAGTTCGAACCAAAATTTGAGACCCAAATTGATTTCAACATAAAATGTGACGAATACCAAAGTTGTTCAACTCATGAATATCTACAACTTTAATTTTGGTCATTTCTTCATTTGACAAAATTTGAACCTTTCAAATTTGAACTTTCAAAAAATGACAAGTTGGAACCAAAATTTGAGACCCAAATTGATTTCAACATAAAAAGTGATGAATACCAAAGTTGTTCAACTCATGAATATCTACAACTTTTATTTTGGCCATTTCTTCGTTTGACAAATTTTTAGCACACATTGTTCACTAATCTTACACATGTCTCATATAGTTTATAAAACCTTATGAGAGATGTATCACATTTGTGAACAATGTCGTTACCACTTTATCATATGAAGAAATGACCAATACAAAAGTTGTAGATCTTGATGAGTTATTCAACTTTGGTATTTATCACTTTTTCAGCTGAAATCATTTGTGGAACCAAAATCTTGTCTGAAAGTTGCATTTTTTTAAATTCAAAATTTAAATTGCTCAAACTTTTCATATGTATATATTGACAAAACAAACAAAATAAATTGATAGATAATGATTTTAGAAAATTTTAGGTAAAAAATCATTAGTTTTGGAGTTAGTATGAGGAAGAAAACTAGTTACAAAGTTGACCCACACATTAAAAAAGAAATCACACTGTTCACTAAGATCATGTAAGGATCATCTAGAATAGTGTGATTTCTCTTTTAATTTGTGGGTAAACTTTGTAACTAGTTGTTCTCCCTCATACTAACTCCAAATGTGATGGTTTTTTTTCTAAAAATTTCTAAAATCATGCTTCAGCATTTAAGTTTGATCAAACTTGGATGTGACAATGTTTTACATATTTTAAAATTTGAAATTTAAATTTTAACAAGTTCAAACCAAAGTTTCAAACCCTAAATGATTTCATATGCAAAAGTGATGAATACAAAAGTTGTTCAACTCACCAAGATCTACAACTTTTATTTTGGTCATCTTGTCATTTGACAAAATTTGAACCTTTCAAATTTGAAATTTTAAAAAATGACAAGTTCGAACCAAAATTTGAGACCCAAAATGATTTCAACATAAAAAGTGATGAATACCAAAGTTGGTCAACTCATTAATATCTACAACTTTTATTTCAGTCATCTTGTCATTTGACAAAATTTGAACCTTTCAAGTTGGAATTTTTGAAAAACAACAAGTTCGAACCAAAATTTGAGACCCAAAATGATTTCAACATAAAAAGTGATGAATACCAAAGTTGTTCAACTAATTAATATCTACAACTTTTATTTTAGTCATCTTGTCATTTGACAAAATTTGAACCTTTCAAATTTGAAATTTTGAAAAATGATAAGTTCGAACCAAAATTTGAGACCTAAATTGATTTCAACATAAAAAGCGATGAATACCAAAGTTTTTCAACTCATGAATATATACAACTTTTATTTTGTTCATTTCTTTATTTGACAAATTCTTAGCACACATTGTTCACTAATCTTACACATGTCTCATATAGTTTATAAAACCTTGTGAGAGATGTGTCACATTTGTGAACAATGTCGTTACCACTTTATCATATGAAGAAATGACCAATACAAAAGTTGTAGATCTTGATGAGTTATTCAACTTTGGTATTTATCACTTTTTCAGCTGAAATCATTTGGGGAACCAAAATCTTGACTGAAGTTGCATTTTTTTTAAATTCAAATTTTAAATTGCTCAAACTTTTCATATGTATATATTGACAAAACCAACAAAATAAATTGATAGAGAATGATTTTAGAAAATTTTAGGAAAAAAATCATCAATTATCATGTTATACGTTTATAAATAGAAAAACATGCATGCCTTTATCACAAAACGGCGAGTGCTCCAGTGGTAACGCACCAACATGTCTAGTAGTAGGTCGCGGGTTCGAATCTCCCTGCGTGCGCTATTTTTTGGCAAAAAAAAGGGAGGCGGAAGGATGCAGGTCCACCGGACCGCGGTGGGCCCACGCCAAGACTTGTTCGGCCGCCACGCCCTCAGCCGAGACTCGCCGGTGGGACCGTGATCGCCACGTCTTCGAGGTTGGGACCCAATGGTGGGACCACGTCGCCACGTCCTCGAGGTGGGACCTGCTGGTGGGACCACGGCGCCATGTCCTCGAGGTGGTACACGAGCCAAACGATCTATAACGATTTAGTTTTGTTGTTTTATGACGATTCTTTGTTTTCGCCATTATTCTTCGTGCAAAGCTCCATCACTTGTTACTTATGATTTAAGCTGGAAATTTCGTCATAGAAAGAGCTTGTTCGCGGACGAAATTTGTAAGCGCCACGACCGAATCGTCATTGATGAACACATTTCTAGTAGTGCTAGGCTCCCAAACCGCACCACCGGTGTCGAGACATAGTGGGCGGTGGGGTCAACCATCCGGAACTTGTTGGGACGATCACGATAACACGCAGAGGCCCCTACGGCACGCCTAATCGTCGGTGTGTTTGGACCGGGGTCCTCAACCAACTAGTAAAAGTGAATCGCGTGCCCCTAATCCCGGATGGTGATGCAAATAGACGCAAGGTTTATCTGGTTCAGCAACCTGGTGCCCTACGCCCCACCCCGAGAGATCGGTCTTGTATTCCTTTGCACCAAGTGCTTGTAGTAGGGGTTACAAGTCGGGTGAGAGAGGAGCTAGTCCTGTGTCTCGGCGTGGGGACGGTGCGAGGTGCATGAGACGCTGCTCTCAAGCAGCCCGGGAGCATGGGTGTTACGGGATGTGTCTAGGGCGAGTATGGGAGCGCGGTTCTATCGTATGTCCTTCTCCTCCTCCCCGAGCTATCCTCGCCGCTTCTTTTTATAACCGCAAGGAAGGAGCCAGGAGTACATGAGTGAGCTACACGTGGAGCCCATCTGCAGTTTAGTCTCAGTGTGACATGGCGTTGGGAATGGAGATCTCAGACTTGTTCTGGGCGCTGGCTGTCTTTGGTCGGAGTTTGAAGTGGTTGAGGTCGTGGGAGTCCTTGTCGACATCTAGTAAGTATGACTTCCATGGCCGGAGACATATCGTGCTTTGGTGGACTCTTGGCCTGGTGGAGTGCCGAGACCTGACGGGTTGTAGCTAACCGCACCGAGGCCTGATTTGGCCGAGGCTCTCAAGCGGTGTTTGTGGCTTACCGCTACGAGGCCTCGATTCTTTGAGACCTGGCGGGAGCAGTTGGGCCTATGCACTGATTCCGAGGCTATAGTGACCTAGTTTAGGTGGAAAAGTGCAGGGCATGGTAAAAAAGGAGATTTGACCGTTGTCCCATCGCTCCTGTTGTTGTACCCTGTCGATCATGGCTGACGTAGCGGATGCATTCAGGCGCATTAAATGGATGGGATAGCCTGCCAGGGGGATGGTTGAGGCGGAGGCGACGAGGATGCGGGACGAGCCCGGCCTCGACCGAGGCGGAGAAAGAACAGTACGTCCGAGGCCCTGCTGGGGGGTCTCGGACGAGGCGGAGAACAAGCAGCTAGGCTCTCCTGCTGTTGCTGAGACTACAGGGACCTGGACTTGAACTTCCACGCCACTTTGTCCTTGGCGCAGGGGTTAGGTAGCACAAGGCAGTACGGGTGTCAGTAGGGAGCACAGTGGCAGGTAACCCCTGCTGCGCCCGGTCTCTCGTCCCGTCGGTCGCTCTGCCCGCACTGTACCCGCGTGCGGCTGACGTTTGTGGGAGTAGTCAGGCGCATTAACCCGGACATGACGGTTTGTTAGAGGAGTTCGGTCGGGACGGAGGTAACGAGGTTGTTTGCCGAGCCCAGCCTCGAGCGAATCGGAGAATTGGCATCCCGTCCGAGGCCTTTCAGGGCAGGGCCTCAGCGAGAGGGCCTCGGCTAGAGGGCCTCGGCGGGACGGGGAGCTTTTGGCCTTTCGCATGAGGCTTCGGCGCAAGGCCTTGGGCGAATCGGAGAAATCTGCTGAGACCTTGAGGTAGTCTTTTGGCTTTGATTTTTGCAAGGTTTAAGCAATATTTTTGGTTTCTTGCTTAGGGTA